TGCTTGTTTTTTAATGCGGGAGGAAATGCCAGGAATAATTTCCCTCTAATTGGAAAAATGGATAAATGAAAATTTAAATTCTCGGGTAAAAAAAATTGTAAACGGAATATTTTTTCCAAATTTCCAAAAAATTTTTGGAATACTTTCCAGAAATTTTTTTTTGAAACAAAAAAAAATTGGGAACAGAACAATTGTATTTTTGGAAAATGGGTTGAAATATTTTTCAAAAATTTGTTTCGCAAATTTTTTAAAATAATTTTCTAGAAATATTTGCGAATATAATTTTTTCCTTTTTTGATTTTTCAATATTCTCAAAAATGAAATTGTTTTGTTTTCCCATTTTTTTAAAAATATTTTCTGAAAAGTTTTCCAGAAATTTATTGAAAATTTTGAAAAAATATTCGGATTACCATTTTTTTTTTTACCCAGGTTGTTGAAAATAAATTGTCACATTATTTGGTATTTATTTATTATTTATTTCTGGGGAAGCATTGAATCATCGGTGGTTTTAGAAAAAGAGGCACAAAATTTTGGGACTATTGAATTAATGAAGACCGAGGGGACCAGTGGAAAGAAGTTCTCCGCAATTTTCTCCGATTTAGATTGAATCCGCAAACTTAAGGATTAACGTGACACGTAACTGTGATTTTGGCAACTCTCAAAGCCGACCCTAAGAGATGGCAGGGGGACAACTCTCAACTCCCTGCCACCTTTGACCACCCAGCCTATGAATTTTTAAAGAAACGTCACTCATTGTAACTGCTGATACTGTAAGTGGAGTTGGGTAAATACTCGAGGATGAGATGGGAGTCTGTCACGTCGATTAGGTGAGACGACAGGTCCATCCGCTCTCGGTGTCTTCTCTTTGCTCATACGCCACTTCACCCCGAGAAATATTCAATAAAAAATTTTCTTACGAAATTTTCAATGCAAAAGTCGTTCACCCATTCTAGACGAATTGTCGATTTTTTTTTGAGCGAACGGGGAAAAAAACATTCTTAAAAATTCTCCTACTATTATTATTATTATTTCAAGTTTATTTTTAATATTTATGAAATAATCCGTCAACGGAGAATTATAAAAAATTTTAATAGTTATAAAAACAAAAATTTCTTTCATTTTAAATTTCAATTTGAATTATTATTATTATTATTTTTATTTCAATTTTATTTTCAATATTTCGGAAATAATCCGTCAACGGAGAATTATAAAAAATTTCAATATTTATAAAAAAATTAATTTCCTTTAATTTTTTTCGAATAATTGAAATTTCAATTTGAAATTTCAAATTGAATTGAATTGTCCTTTAATTTTTATATCCGTATCGAAAAAGGTTTCGTGGGGTGAGGGTGATGAGGGGGATAAGGGGAATAAGGGGGATAAAGGGGATAAAGGGGATGAGGGGATTGAGGGGGTGATATCCTCTCCCTTTCGAAAATGCGAAACAATGCGCGCCTTTACCCTGAGTAAAGTCCAACGAGCGTTGAAGTACCCTTTATGGTGGATAGAGGGGCACGTCGAAAGGCCAAAGGGGCACAGGGGGGTGGTAAGGGGGATGGTCAGAGAGGGGTTAGAGACGGCCCGCTGCAAGTACATTTAATATTTGATGACGCGGGCTGCTGGTCATCCTGCCGAGGCGATAACACGGGCCCCGCGGGAACCTTCCGGCCAACATCCCCTGGAAAACGAGCCCTTCTCACCACCCCCGCCGTTCTCCTCACCACCCCCTTCAACCCCTCATCCCCGTGCCATCCTATGGCGGGATGTGCACTCCTACGCTATCTCGAGAGCTCAGAATTTCAGTGTCCTCAGACCATCACTTTTTTTTTTTTTAATATCTCAACCGATGGGATTGGGGTATATTATTATTATGTTATAATAATGATTGTTATATATTGTTGTATATTATTAAAAAAATGAGGTCCTTGGATTTTTTATCTGGTGAAAATTCAGGGGATTAATTTGTCAAGTTTTTGGTGAAATGGTTTATCGATGGGAATTGGGGGAATTGGCAATGAAGATGATGAAAATCGCTGACATTTTCCCATTAGTCATTTATTCGGATTCTGCAGAGCCCTGCGCTGAGGACTTATTAGTAAACAAACAGGATTTTGTTGATAAGGATAAGCAGCAGAAAGCGGCGACTCAGGGGATGGGTCACCATCAGATTTCATGGATTTTAGAAATGGGATTACTGGGTAATTTTTTTTTTAGAGGAAAATTCACGGGGAAATTATTTCGGGTAATTGTGGAATTCAGGAATTTTTATTATAAATCGGTTGTATGTTTGGTATTTAATAAAACAATTTGGGATTCGGACCGAAATTTTGGATGAGATGCGGAAATAATGAAAAAGTAAGGGGGAAATTTCTTGATATTAGAGAAAAGTTTTGGGAATAAGGAAAACTTATTCTTGAGTCAAGACAACAGTATTCTTGAATCTAGGAACTTGTTTTCTAACATTGAGAAATTTTTTTCCGACGCGGAGAAAGTTTTTCCCTCTGCGGTCGCCAGCACGGAAAAAAGAAAATCGAAGAAATAGTCTGTCTCGGGTTTTTCTCATTTTTTTTTATCCCGCGTGGTAACAGCACCACAGGTCAACAATTAATCACAAATCCCCTCCAAAATAACCAATATTCAAATTTTCCATAACAATTGAAATTTTTTTTCAAATATTTTGTCAATTCCGAATTTTTTTTTCCAGTATTAATTTTTTTATTGAAATCGGTAAGCAAAAAAATCTTTTATTATTATTTAATTACTGTGATATCATAATTACAATGATAATCACTTGGAGAAATAAAAAAATTTGAGAATTTCCCAGGAAATAAAAAAATATAGACGCACGTCTATGAGAATTCGGGAGTCATGGAAAAATCGGAAAATATCGGCAACTCCTCAGTAAAATCCCTCCAGCTGGTCTCCAATATTTTCAGTTATCTTTTCAGATAAAAAAATGATAATATCTGAAGTTGCATTGCCTTCCCCTTCCACTGTAATACCGCCACATTCGATTCTTAACCGATCTATATAACAAGACCACAAAGATTCGTATTCCCGTTGACAGGATGAATGAGCAGTTCCATGAAATATAAATGGCCACCGGGTTATATATCGTTTTCATCGATCGTCACACACTTTATCCGTGCCCTTGTCCATCTCCACTGGCGAAAAGAAAAAAAAACCCCTAAAAAAAAACGGAGGGGCAAAAAGAAATCACACAACCGACTTCTTTATTTATTTTTTTTTTTCAATTGGATGTTGTGTGTGGAAAAGACGACCGGAAAAAGAGAACCTCGAGGGGGTGGGGTGGGAGGACAGGGACATTAATAATTCAACCAGCGAATTCGAGCGCACAAATCTCTGCCTGTCACGCTCCTCAGTTTTTCCTCCTTTTACTTCATCCCTAAAAAAAACCACCCCCAAAGAGAAATTCCCCAAAAATCCAAAAAACTCCCTCTCACCCTGCCCCCGCACCCTCCAGCCCAAAACCCAAATAAAAAATCGATAATTAACAATTAAAACGAGACAAAGGAGAAGAAATGATTCCATCCAAAATACAAATTCTTAATACCCCACGAAGATGCACCACAAAGTGTATGTCCACCCCCGAAAAAACTATAAGGGTCAGACAGTGGTTGCGGGTAGTGGTTGTCCTCCCCCTTCCACGGAGAGACACCAAAAACCCTCTTCATTCTCCCCCCTATCAAGATGGCCGACACCAACTGTGACGCATGCTCTTGCCGATTGCTCCGCCCCTTTACCCCTCCCTCGTCCCACCCCACTGAGTCTCACATATGAGAGAGCAGTAAGAGAGGGATGAAAATCAGCCATCTCTCTTCACCGAGACAACCTACCCCTGTCCTCTATCCCTGATATTTGTTGCTTCATCCCTCTCTCATTGATATCTATCTCTCTCACCCCTTGAAACCCCTATCCCTCTACCCCTCGTACGTCATGTCTCTCTCAATGTCTCTCTTTCTCTCATAAGAAAAGCTTTTTGGACTGTCTCGACCAACCACGCCGTGGGCACGCGCAAAAGAATCAGATGACGAGGGTTGAAAGGGGTGGTAAAGGGCGAGGAAGGGTGAGGAGGGGTGAGGAAGGGTGAGGAAGGGTGAGGAATGGTGAGGAAGGGTGAGGAGGGGTGAGGAAGAATGGTGAAGGGTGAGGAGGAGTGAGGAGGGATGAAGAAGAGTGAGGAGGGATGAGGAAGGGAGGGGATTCAAGAGGGTGGGGTAGGTTTAATGTAGAAAACAGAGGGGGTACGTGATATTTGCTGGGAAACCTATATTCTCCGGCCATCGAGCATATCCCGTTGTCGTTGGTGTTTCACACCGTCCACCACCTCGAAATCATTTCATCTCTCTCTGTCTCTCGGTTTTTGGTGGCATTCAAAAAGCCCACCATCCCCCAATTCACCCCCCACTACCGTTACCACGAGTTTTGTAGTTTACTCATCCCTCCTCTGGGGCTGGATGAGAGAATAGAGTCGAGAACGGGGCAACGTGTTGGGATTGCCGGTTCAACAACTCGCCCAGAACATGACGCGCTGTCTCGTGCACCAGTACCCGAGTTGTTTTTAAAAATTCGTGAACAATTGGCCAATTTGGTTAATAATTATTCGAGATTTTATGACAGTGACAGTTACAAATTTGAATGATATTTGGATTGTCGGTGTATTGTCGATTTTTGGATTTAAACAGTTATTTGGATTTTGGATTTTTACAGTCGCTGGATATCATATCCAGGTTATCAGTGATCAGTGATGATTTTTATTTATTATTTTGTGTGATATTAATTTGTGATGGATAATGCGGATGGTAGTATGAACGATGAGAGTAGATTTGTTTGGGGATTGGGGATCGACTCGTCGACCCGACAGTGACACAAGTATTTGTGACATTTAATTCACTTTTTTCAACACTGGTGTGATATTGTTATAAACAATAGGGGGAGGGTATATATATTTGGGGGTATATCAGGCGGGTGCAAGGGCATCCTGTCTGCTGTTTTGTGGCTCTCATGGCTGGCACCGTGATTCAACGGGAGTACTGATATTCTTTGTCCAGTGGATACGGCAATTGTTTTTTTTTTTTTTAATTTTACTGATACAGCGACAAAATGATGTACTCACCTGATAAGATGATGGGGAGCAAGGGTCTCCATGGGGCACCCATATCGGCACCTGGGTGCTTTCCATCTGGAAGATATTCACCGCCATCGTATCGCGCTGCGCCGGATCAAATGCCACCACCGCCACCACCGAGAAGGTGCATGCCAAATCCACCGGTGAGTTTCATTTTTATTTATTTTTTAATCCTCCAATCGATATCATCCAATCAATAATTAATAAACTATTGACTCCCAAATTACAATTCATTCATGATCAAATTACAAACGAATTGGAAATTAATCGCGAATTTCGAGGACCGAAGACAGAATTTGGATTCAATTCGATTATTCAATTCGATTATTCAATTCGATCCTTTCGAGATTAGTCGAATGCCGATTGGATTCGGGTCTGATCAAAGACAGATCGAATTTTATCACTTCGTCATTCGATCCCGGAGTAATCAACATCAGATTCGAGACAGTAGACGTGCACTTTCGCTTGTAGAACTTTCTCCCTTTTTTTTTTATCTGATCTGCGAAAATTTCGATTGCAATTCCCTGGGGGTCAACATCAGCTCATTCAATTATTCAGTTTAATTATTAATATTTATCTCAATGTGACGACAAATGGTCAATTGACTCGTCTATTCTCTCCCAGCGATACCAAAAATATCCAAAATTAAGGACGAGTTATTCGTGTCCATTGAATTAATCGCTGACAATGAGACAAAGTTATTAATAATGTGCTAAACCCTGACACGTTGGAAAAATAATTAACCAAGTGACGTCATACCAGGGATTTTATTTTCGTGGAAAATGCATGAATGGAGAAAATATGAGTTTAGATAATTGACGTTTATTGAGTGAATTGTCATTTATTCCGGTGTCATGAGAATTTTTTCCAAGGTATTACGATAAAAATGGAATTAATTTCACAAAAAAATTTTTGAGGAGAGAAAGAGTGGGAGAAGGGGTGAAGGGGAGAGTGGGAGAAGGGGAGAGTGGGGATCAATTAGTCGTATGTCAATTTTGTGGATGATTTTTGTTTGGAAATGCGAGATTATGCGATAGACAGAATTTGAAAGGTTTGAATAATTTTATTTATTTTCAACGGGTTTTTCCCACTCGTCTTCTGAGACCCGTGTGTTTGTGGCATCCACCGGTGTGTTTAGTTTATTCATGCGACGTAATAGGATAAAAACCGTTGGTACCCGTTGAGAGTCCCCAGATGAGATTACAGGTACTGTGTGCCGTCACCCGATAACAATCACACGTCTGATCGATTCAACTTTATTTGACTTTTTCATTTATTCATCTTATTTTCACACCAGTGAAAGTTCGAGATATCCCAGAGATTAAACAACTGATTAAAATTTATTCAATAATCCATAATAAAATATACGATATAAATAAATTTAAAAATTCCACAATTACACAAATAATTGTTACAAATTTTTGGGGATATGATTTCAGGTCAATTTATAGTTTATTAATTGGGGAATTAATTATCGGGTTTATTGCGGGGTTGGGGGAGTTTGCGGAGATTTGTTTCAGTTATATGAAAATTTATTGTTCTGGAGTATTAGTTAATTAATATTTTTAAAAATGAGGGGATGATTTTTTAGTGTAGCTGGGATATCGGGGAGATATTGACTGGAAGCTGCTGTAGTTTGTCGGGACTCGGATGAGAGATATAATCGTTATGTATGGAAATTAATGCAGCGGCTAGGTTGATTATTAATGAAAGCTGTCCCCTCGCGTTCTGTAATTATTCAAAGCGTTGTGAAAATTCCGATGAAATTATAACGTTTCGATTTTACAGGCTATTTCCGCTCGCCGAAACAAGTCTGGAATATCAAGCGAAGTAATATGTCATCAGTCCCGTGAAAATTCTTTTTCTCACTCTGTCCTCTGATTTTTCCCATCGACTCTTCTCTTTTCATTCTAAAAAAATCCTGTTCGTCATATTTTTATCTCAGAATTGAAACGATTTAATGAATTAATTAAATCGGTTTTCTAAAAATATTTCTACGACTAGAAATCGAATTTTTTCCTCTGAATTTTAATTTAATGGGAATTTTCCAAATTTAATAAATCAAATAAATAAAATTTAATAAATCAAATTTATTATTAATAATTTTCAACCGAATCGATGAAAAAAGAAATCGTCACATCGAAGAATGTCATAGTCTTGAATTCTTCATCAGCAGTTCGTTGACAGTTGAAAGTTGAAAGGGAAAAAGAAAGGAGGGAAAGAAATCTGGGAAAGTAACACATGTAGGTGATGCATAAGTCGATCGAGGAAATGGCAATTAATGTCAGCGATTAGTTGACCGAGAGTAGCCTTGGCTCCACTTTGGGTTTCGAGTAAAGGAGGGTGTCATCAGGTGGACTACGTGGACAGTACACATGAGATTGCATAATCAATACCAGGACATGTACAACACAGGTTGACGAGCCCTGATGTCACCCTATTGTAAGTGATGTCAGGTGTTGGGGAAAAAAAAAAAAGGTTATGAAGGAGACACTTATTGGGGAGCACTGACAACCCGAATTTCAATTCACGATTCGGACGAATTCATTATTTCACTTGTCCTACGATTTTTCCTTCAAAAGTTACATTTAAAATTGTAAATTAATCAATTTCACATTTTTAATAATCCGAATGTTTATTTATTTTACTAATTCGAATTGTATTTAAAATGGAAAATAGTCACCGAATTTCATTTTTTTTTTCTCTTTCATGGTGATTGATAATTGATTTTTCATAATTCCTCGGTTTCCGGAAATCGAACGTCAAATCCAATTGAATTAATAAATCAAAAGTTCAGGAAAATTATTGATTCGAATTTTCCATATTTCCAAATTTTTTCGTTCATTCCAGAGCATCAGTGCATTCCAGAAATTGACTGATTCGTCAATGAAAAATTCTCCAGAAAAATTGACGTCCCGTTGTCGTTGAAAATTTCCCCAGAAACTTTACCTAGAGAAATTTCCGGAGTAATTCGGAAATTGAAGTGCCGGTGCGATTACCGCGGGGTCAGGGTGAATTTCATCGGGAATTTTTCGACGTGCACACGGGAATGAGAAAAATTGATCTCGAGAAAAAGAGGGGGATGAATCCACAGTGCAGTAAAACTATCTACTAGTGACTAGAAAAGCCGACGTTTCTACCCCGCACACGGTACACTGGGGACACATAACGCTCCCCACTTACATCCAATCACTCCTGATTTATATTTACTACTCGCTTTGCCCTTATTTATTGTCCTTCACGGAGACGCGAAGAATGGTAGCGTTAATTTGGTCGAATTGAAAATAATGGCTTTGGCATACCCACGAAACGAGACAAATGCACACTGAGGAAAAAGTTGTTGCGCACCGGGGAATTGTTCTCCTTCAGTCCCGAAGAATTGATTATAAATTCCTACTCCACCTGCACCCATCATGCAAAAAACTGCATTACCATTCCCTTAAAAAAAAATAATAATTGACCGTAAGACGGGGATGGTAATTACCCTCGTTTAAAATCATTTTTTTAGTCTTAAATCTAAAAAATTCATAAATTGTCATCATCAATTTATTATTCACGAAGGAGTAATGGTTTTTAATTACCTATCAATTGTGTTGAATTGGGTAAAAATTGTTGGGTTTTAGATGTTTTTTTTTTTTTGGACTAGGCATGTGAGATATTTTTTATGTAGTAACATAACTCATCGCGTGTGTCCCTTTCCCTGTCGAATTAGTCCCCGAAACATTATTAGACTGTCTCTTACCGACAAATCGAGTACGAGACTGGTTGACGAGGGGGTAAAAAGACATGTACACTAAAAGAGGGGTTATATGGCGTCACGTAAGTGGTTGGAAAAAGAGTAGTCGATGAAAGAAGACTCGAGTTGTAGTGGTCACGCACGTCAAACCCTCATAATTACCATTTATATTCTCTGTACAATTATATATCGAAATTTCGGCCCTCATTGTGGTAAAAATAGTCTTTCCATACTTGACGAGATCACAGAAACGAAAGCCCTCAATATTCATGCTTTAATCCGGGTAAAAAAATTGTATTCGGAATATTTTTTTCAAATTTTTCAAACCATTTCCCAAAAATGCAATTGTTTTCTTTCCAATTTTTTTTTGTTTCAAAAGGAAAATTTTCTGAAAACATTTCCAGAAATTTTTTGTAAAGTTGCAGAAAATATTTCAATTACAATTTTTTTTGTACCCGGGAACAAATTAATATAAATTAATATTAATGTCTGTAATGATTGAGGGATTTTTATCTTGTTGAATTTTGAGTGAAAATTTTCCTGTGCATTTTCATTTGTGCAATTGCAATAAGTGGACAGGCTTTCCGAGCACTTAGAGATTACGCGAATTAACAATTACTCCATCCAGAATATTCACTTGGTTTTCGGCATTAAAAAGACAATATGCGTGAAATAAAGAGCCAAAAATATATGAAACAGGGACGTCCGGTGGTGCCTCAGCGCGGTTTAACGCTCTTATCATTATTTTTATTACGGTCCCCGTAATGCCCCCGGAGTAAGCCCTGCTTTATCTTTTTTACCTCTATATACTTACACCATCCCCCTCGGTGGTTACTTCGAACAGGGTTATACCGGAAATAAACCCAAGTGTATAATCACAATGCTACTTGCCATTTCTCTTCAAAATCTAGAATAATTAAGTGACCTACAGAGAGCAAATGCATTTCCCCGAAAAAATTCATCAATAAAATCATTCAGGAAAATGATAATTGATGTTTCATGTAATTAAATCGATTGTCCAAATGTACAACTCAATTATAAAATAATTATAAAATAATTGAGACGACAAAAAAGTGAACAATAATAATTTGACTGAGTTAATGCCGCAGTTTTCCGGAAATTTCTCGGAATCCAAGACAGATAACGAAATTTTCGGTCTTATCTTTTTTATGGTCCTCATTCCGCTCTAGGAAAAAGGTCATAATAAAAATGTCGCTATCTCTCTCAGATTCGACGATATTCCTGAAAATTCGAACCAGTCGTTTATCCTTCACCTTTTCCCCGACAAATTCACGAAAAAAGTCGAATTCATTTCGAATCATTGGAGTCGAATGAAAAAATTGAAGAAAAAAAATGACTTCGCTGTAAAAATATGTAATACCCCCCACTCAATGGAATAATTAATTA